GCAGGCACTGTGCCACTGAGCTAAATCCCCAGCCCCCTTTTAATCCTAGTTTTGGGAGGAATCTCCACACTGATTTCCACTGTGGTTTCACCAGTCTACACTCCCACCAGCAGTGGAGAAGGATTCCTTTTTCCTCACAGCCTCTCTAGCGTTTGTTATTGGTTGGTTTCCTAATGCTAGCCGTTCTTTCTGGGGTAAGATGGAATCTGAGTGTTGTTTTAATTTGCATTTCTCGAATGACCAGTGATGTTGAACATTATTTCATATATTTATTCTCCATTAGTATCTCTTCATCTGAGAAGTGTGTATTCATCTCAGATGCCCATTTTTGGATTTGGGCTTTGAATTGGGGGAGCCTGATTGTTTAAATTCTTTATATGTTCTAGATAGAAGTCTTTTGTCTGAGAGGCAGTTGGCTAAAATGTTTTCCCAATTTGTGGGTTTTCTTTTTACTCTGTTGGTGATTCCTTTTGCTGTGCAAAAACTTTTCAATAAGATGAGGTCCCAGTTGTTGATTCTTCAAAGTATTTCCCATGCAGTTTGGGTTTTGTTCATGAACTCTCTGCCTACTCGTATGTCTTTGAGATTTTTACCTGCTTTCTCTTCCATTAGATTTAGTGTGTCTGTTTTAATATTTAGATCTTTGATCCATTTTGACTTTAGTGCATGTTGATAGACATGTATATAGAAGGATAGCTTGGATAACTGTACTACTGATGTCTCGTAGTTTATTGAAAGGAACAATTGATGCTTAAAATTTTTTTTTACGGGGTTGGGGATTTAGCTCAAGGGCACAGCGCCTACCCAGAAAGCGCAAGGTCGGGAGTTCAATTCCTGGTACCGGGAAAAAAAAATTTTATATTTTGACCAATTTTGCATGCTTATATCTGGTAATCTGAGCAACTGATGTGAAGACAGCAATATGCAGTATAACAGCCATTGGTGAATTCCTACCATTATGTCTAGTGAAACTCTGTATTGTCTCTAATGTTTTTTTAAACTATTATTTTCTTATTCTCTTTAATGGTTTAATCAATCTTCCATTCTTACATCTGGTAATCTGAGCAACTTTGTTGAAGATAACACCATGTAATATAACAACCACTGTTAATTCCTATCATTTGGTTTGAAACCCCGTATCATCTTTAATGTGCTTGCTTTGTTTTGTTTGTATTTTGCCATTCTTTTTTTTTACTATTCTCTTTAAAATAAAAAAAATATATAGTATGTAGCTTGTCTTAAGTAGTAGGACTATTTGCTATTCTTTCACCTCTTTTTCAGAAATTGTTTTCTTTTATGTGTAGTGTCTTTGTTTACACAATAATATATTCCTCTTGATGGAAATATACCAATTTATTTGAATGAAAATCAGTAGACTGACAGACACTGTGTGAAAATCCTAGTGAAATACATATTGCCTCATTCCCCAAAGCAGCCCCTACCCAGGCCAATTTGTCTTAGCATGGCCTGGCCTCATAATGTTTTCTGTTATCAAAGGATTGGTTCTTAAATAGGACATTTACCCAGGCACTTTCTTACTAAAATTCAGGACCACCTTCAGCAGAGCACACAGTCCTTTAAGAATCCCAGGGCAACTCTCAAAAGCCAGCAATAAAACCCTTAAATGCAAGTATTAGTTATGAGAGGCAAGATTGATATCATAGGAGAGAGACAAGTCCAGGAGCTAACCACTGATAAAGGTGCCAGCTGGCTGAACTAACCGATCAGGTAGGCCAAGAGCAGAGGGCTCTTCCCGGGTCCTGGAGCTGAAGTGCTCAGTGTGAGTTCACTGCTGAGCGCCCGAAGCTGACTATACATTTTTTTGTTGCTTCTTACTTAGGTCAGCAAGGGGTCCTGGGAGACCCTCAAGCCACACAATGGTAACTTTATGGGATGGAAAGTGGGAGTGGGTTGAATTGTGTGAGTTCTGGAATGAAGTGGCCAGCTAGGGCAGTCTGCCACCTCCCTGCTTGTTAGCTCTGGGCTCTGAGGTCTTCCTAAGACTTTGGTCATAAGTTATCATCTGTCTCAATTTTCCCTTTGTTCAGACAGGGACAGTTTTAGATCCCCTGCATGCTGTCCACACTGTGACACAGTAAGCCCAGAATGCCTTTCTGAGCAGCGTCAGGCACATCTGTATCTCCTCCAGTTTGAGGATGCAGTGGTTGGGGCAAACCTGGCTTCCATCCACAAAATGAAAAAAAGTTATCATTTGCATGACGCATGTGAGACCTTTACTCACAATGATGGTACTGCCTAAACAGAACTAATCTGACAACGTGGAACAGTGAGATCCAGAACCAAATGAAGAAATGAGAATCACTCCTTGATTGTCATCCAAAGTGGGTAGCCAGGCCACCTGTGACACATGGCTCTGTGTATTTAAAATAACCCCCCTTTCTTTCTGGGGGATACAAAGTTTATCTGGGTAGCCTAATGTGGTCTCAGACTCCTGGCCATCCTCCTCCTTCAGCCTCCAGTGTGCTGGGAGTACAGTCGTGAGACACCACAGCCAGCCAAAGCAACCACTTTGAACCCAGGCTCTCTAACTGATCATCTCAGCATGCAGGGTCCAAGTTTTAGAGAAAAACTAGCTATTTCTACTTTAAATTTCTAGAAAGTCAGGAGCTTAGTAAGTAGTTAGCAGCTACAACTTTAGTGGAAAGGATTCTGCATTTTTGTAGGGGAGAAAGGTCACTCACTAGTGGTTCAAAGTCCTAACTCATTGTCTATTTGCATTTTAATTCTTTTAATAACCACTAATTTACCAACTCTACTTCAGGCACCTAGCTATTGAAGTGACCTGAAGTAGAGTTGGGAAATTAGTGGTTATTTCTGGCTTTTTATTTTTACTTGAATCATGTCTATTCCCAGGAGTAGCACAATATATTTCATAGACATTGGAAAGAAATCACTTGTCATGGATTTTGGGAAACTCCATGATAAAGGAAAAGAGTGTGGATTGGAGCAGCTGATTCTCAATTCTTGAATAAATCTACTTATTTTGTTCTTCCGCTTTTCAGTTTTCTTTGGTGATGTTCAGAAATGAGATTTGTTTTCTATTCATTGATTCTCTTGAGTCAGATATGTTGTTGTTAGTTTTTAGATTTATGTTCATTGATCTTAACTGTACACAAAATGTTTGTATTGTGTACCCTGCAGATGTTTTCTGTTTAACTCCCGTTTTCCTTAGATTGTGATGTGTAGTTGATTTTTTTTTTTTTTGAGGAAACACTGTTTTTACTTGCATGTCTTTCACTATAAATTCTAAAGTCATTTCAGTTTATCTTTTCCATTTCAATAGTTAATCTTTGTACATAAGCTAGAAGAGTATGCAGTCCCAATTTCTAAGTGCATACCTCTTTTGTCCTGAATGTAAGTGAAAAATTTTGTCCTTTCATCCAGAGATGTATACTGTTAGCTAAATCATAAGTCAGTGTTCTATTTACATGTGGATCCATTGACAGTTATCTTTCTTTACTGACACCCTTTGTCATTCTCTATTAATGACTGATGTGAAAGTTGGAATATATATAACTTTTATGTATATTATGCAAGGTGTCACATTGCTCACAAGGTATTGAATGTTCGTAGTCTTTACTTTACAGCTCCAATTTTTTAGCAAATGAAAGGTGTGATTTGTGAGTGAATCAGTTTTATTTTTATTATTATAATATCCCTATGCTAAT